CACACAATCAATACAATATATTTTAATATATTGTAACAGAGAGAACGTAAATATCATTGTAATTTTGATGGATAACTAATTAAGGAAGAGCTATAGGGGCTTGCCTAGCTGATAACCTCTTCTATGAAAACATTACGGAAGTTTACATTGGATAAGGAGAAAATGAATTCCTCTAATATCTTTGCTGCAGCTGCCTGTTGCTTTAGTCACGGCTGAGAGAATTAATGGGTTTCAGGAGGAGTATGTCCACAGGGCTGCCAGGTAATACAGACTCTGTGATCAGGTGGCTGTGGTCTGTGTGGAGTCTGTGGGGAAACCTCTTCGTTTTAACCTGAACAGCAAATAGTGATTCAGTTTTCCTTCCAGCGAGAAATTGTTTTAGGAGCTACTCTGTGTGTAGGAACAATGAAAGACAGAAAAGAATGCTGTTGGTTCCTGAAAGATTGTTAAGCTTCATAGCTCTTCAGAGGGCTCAGTGCTATCCTCTCTTCTGCAGGTGTTTTGTAGGAAGACATTTGGAGAGCTTCTGAAACTAAATGTTGCCAAACTTGAAAGCAGCTGAACTTGATTCCAATGGGTATGTGGATAAGAAAATGAGGTTGGATGCTTCTTAGTATTGGAAGCTCATGTAAATAAAAATAAATTTGCTCAGCAGTTTAAAATTGGACAAAACCATTCCCAGGGCCAAAGATTTCAGTACAAAAAGAGAGTTATTGTACCTTCTTTGTTATTTTTTCTTCTTTAGAAGTTAAGATGAAAGCTGGAGATAAAAATCAGTATTATCATAACCTCATCTGCAAAGCCACAATAGTGGCTTTTTTAAAAGGGTGTGGCATAATTCTGTAATATCATACATGCAAAATAGTCACAGAAAAAAACATTTTCACAGCCTGTTTTAATCTATTGGATTAGACAAAAGTAAAGATTTTCATTTTTGCAGTGTATGGTTAGGTAAATGAGCAATTAAATTTGTGCATACTTACAACCATAATAAAATGCTACAGCACTTTTGGGATGTGGACCTGTAGTGTTTTCTCTGAGTCTGCTTCAGTTGTGCTGGTGGGTTTTTTTTGTTGTTGTTTGGTTGTTGTTGTTTTTAGTTTGGTTGTTTTTGCTTTAGGAAGGGAAAACTAGAGGAGGTAATTCAGAACTCTGGAAAACTGAGTTTGAACACCTGAATCACTTTGGAGTAGGTAGTATTCACTCAGACCTTCTAAAGAAAATCAAAGGTGAAATAGATGAATTATTAGTTATAATATGTAATCTGACACTTAAAACTGCTTCAGAAATAGTGGCTAATTTGACTAGTGTCCACTTTTAAAAAAATTATTATTGGTTGAAATGACAGACTAGCAGACCTTAATGTGTATAGGACATGCTAGTTGAAATCTTGAGTATTATGAAAGAATACAATATATTAAGGAAGAGAATTATTACAGTTTTTAAAAAAATGCATTGTAGATATTGAGATCAACAGTGAGGATGTGTATTAATACATATTGTTACTTAAAAGATCTTATCCCTTCTTGTTTCCTCTCCTTCATTCGTCTGCCTCTTTAACATGATCGTATCTCCCTCATTTTGTTTTGCAGTATTAAATACAGCTCTTTTAGCTGTTCCTTATGAGAGCCTCTCTCTTTCAGTGCTTAAGACAAAAGTAATTTTCCCCACCTATTACTGCTTGAATGCATTTTCTGTGAATGCAGCTGACCTAATACTGAACAGATGATTTCTCATGAGGGAGGCCTTGCCACTGTCTTGTGCAATGGTCAGGGTATTCTTACATCTTCTCTAGTCCAGTGCAGGTAGGGTGCCAGCAGGTGAGTGTGGGTAGACTGCGTCCCAGCCTGAGTGGGTAGCTTTAAGTACAGCACTGTGCTGTGTGAGACCTTTTGCTCCAGTCTTGGGTAGTTGAAGAACCTTCGGTGCTGCTTTCTAGCTCTGCAGGTGAGCATGGCCATGGTAAATCTGCCACACCTCTTCTTTTGTCTGACAACCAGTCATTGACACTGTCTGCCCCAGGTGAAACCATCTAATGTCTAAATCTGTTTTCTTTGAACATCAGTTTCCATAATTATTCCTGTTTTCAAAATTTGTTGCATGTCAGTGTTGCGTAGCTTTTTTGACCTTACAAGCTGCATACTGAAACCTTCCTATAACTCACAGACATGGGACATTAGCTATAAGTGTTGAGGAGCCAAAAATAAAACACGAGCTGTTGCAGTTCCAGCTTTTCAGTCTTCTGGGGTGGAAATTGTTTTATCTGCCCGCACTGATCACTTAGGCTCTTAGGAGTTTGCTTCTAGTTGGGATCCCACCTTTATGTGTCACAGTCTCTAAATTTCTGGATACTGTTCAATGTTCAGGCTGACCTTGCTGAAGCTAGCCAGTGTAAATGGCTAACTTGTATGTAAATCCTCTCCATCCAAGGAGGATTGTTCAGAATTTCAGAATTTTAATGTTTTGAGTTTTAGGGCTTTTCATACTGTAAATTGATTGTGGTTGTGGTTTTTGGTGGGGTTTTTTTGTTTGTTTTGTTTTTATTTATTGTCTTTAATGTTTAGGCATCAGCAGGCTTGCAGTTCCTTATTTTATACCTTGATCTTTTGATTCAACTATGTTTGTTTGCAGATGTTGACAATTTGAAACAAGATTGTAATTAGGTAAGCTCCCTGGTACTGGCAAATTACTTTTGCACTGCCTTTATGAAAGGAAAAATACACACTGCTGAAAACTGTAATTGAAATAAACCATTCTTTATTCTTTCCTGTAATTACCATAATGTAATTCTGAGCACAGGTGGGAATTTTCTATTAATAGGACTTGTTTAGAATAAAAAAGAGAAAATGGCAAGGAATCATGCCAACATTTGTTTCCAAGAGAGTTCTACAATTACTTTAGAAAGGGGTAGTAACAAATAATTTCCTAAATGACAGGGTGTGTTTTGGTTTGTTTTCATTTATGTGTTTGCATGTTTGCCTTTTTGAAGCTATTTAAAAATTTTAGTATTTTTAGTATGGTGTGTGTTTATATTTTGTTTGTAAGGGTGCCTCCCAAACTCCTTTTTTGTCCATCCTCACTGCTGATCTACATAAATACTCCCAGATTTACTGCTTGATTGGCATGTATTCCATTAATACAAATAACTTATTAGGGTACACAGTAGGCACTGAGAGACCCCCGAGTGGTCACTGTATTCACAGCTGCTCCAGGAACAATTTGTTAACTCCAATGTACACAATCTTAGTTCCTATCAATCCACTTACCGCCTACATAACGGAAACTTCCAGAGAAATTCAACCACTCTCTATAAATATGCCATCCTCTGGCATAATTTTGTGTCTTGTGTGAAGTAATATTCTTTACTGTTTGTTCCTATCAATCAGATAGTACCTTGAGAAATGAAGACTTAGTCTTTGCTATACTTTTAGTTAGTTTCACTGCAAATTTTATTCTTGTATATGAATGTGTAAGCACTATTAATATTGGTGTTGTGAGGAAAGGAAAAAGGCTTGCAAACTGAGTGATTTTTTTTCTTTATGTTTAGGTGGGTTATCTTTCTTTCATTTTTCTATCATCATTCGCTTTTGCTTCATGGGTCAGGATACAGAGTTCTGTCTGTCTGCTCTGCCCTGTTGGGCCAATATTTTATATACAACTGATAGATATAGATGTATTGGCTATTTTTTCTTTTTTCCAATCCGAGTCTTGATTCATCAGAAGGTGAAGAGAAAATAACTTTTAAAAGCTCTGGGCTTAGAAGAAAGGGGTCATGGGTGTGAGGGGCTGAATGAGAACCATGACAAAATGCCAAAGATCTGAGGATGTCCCTAAGCAGTAAATCCTATGGGCTATTCACCAGGTAGCCTTATCTTACAGTACCCTGTCTCCCTACCGAAGACAACATTGTCTTTGAGTGTATTACTTCTGAAATGCAAGGGTCTGACTGACTTCTTAAAGAATTAAAAAAAAAAAAAAAAAGTTACAAGGATACTAGCTAGAACCACCATCCCATTAGTCCTTCCCCAGTCATGCTTCTGCGCACCTGAGCAGCGAATGGGGGGAGTTGTAAGCTCTGTGGAAGGACACAGAGCTCTTCATTGACTTTCTCCTATTCCTCAGGCAAATTTGACCTTATGGTAATAGGGATTTTTCTTTCTTCAGAAGATGACATAGCTCAGAATCATTCCCTTTTTGAAAATTTTTCTGAGTGTTTCACAGTCTAAGGATTTCTTCTTTGAGGTGAAATTGGTATCTGAGAATTTGCACCTTCTTTTACGCTGTCTTAGCATCATCATCATTTTTTCTTGTTTGGCCTTCCACTCCCCATTTCTGAGTGTAAATAATCTCAGGAATTTTTGTTACATTCAAGTAAGCTGAACTCAGAGACCACCTCTGATTCTGCTCTTAACAATATTTTCAAAGAGCTTATATTTATTCTTTTGGTCAGCCCTGAATTAGTCAGGCAGTTGGACTAGATGATCATTGTAGTTCCCTTCCAACTGAAATTATTCTATTCTATTCTATTCTATTCTATTCTATTCTATTCTATTCTATTCTATTCTATTCTATTCTATTCTATTCTATTCTATTCTATTCTATTCTATTCTATTTTTTCCCCTCCGAGGTGTAGTACTTTGGCTTTATACCTTTGTTCATGGTTTGTTTTCTAAGTCACGTTCTCTGAATGAAAAAATAAGATAGCAATAGTTTTACAATAAAAAATTGGTTTTTGTTTACCTGCAAATTTTATTCATGTATTAATTCTTGCAGGCCACTGCAAGAGATTGGTCTATAGTGTGATTACAGCAGGCTTTGGGCTTTCATCAATTTCAATGGGAGTTCTCCTATGAAGCCTTCATGTTGAGCCCATATGAGCAATATGGGTCCTAATTTCTCTATCTGCAGTACCTACTTCTGAATTATTCCCTGCTTTGTGTGTGGAGGGGAGGGCTTATAACAAATTTTAAAAGCCTGGTTTAATCTTTCATTTATTTAAGGATCTTGACAGTGCTATAGTAGGGAGACAGAGTTTGGAGATGGAGATCAGAAACCTTCAAGATAAACTGACTGCTAACCAGAAAGCTTTGGATGCCTCAAAGAGGGAACTGCACAATCTGAAGAAATCTTCCAGTGAGCTGGATGGAAGCTTGAAGAGCAGCAGAGAAGAGGCCAGGACTGCTCAGAGCTCTTTAGTGGCTTTTAAAGAGCAAATTGCTACCCTACTCAGCAGCGGATCTGCAATAGTTAAACCTTCTGAGAAGGCCATTTTGGAGAGGATCCAAGAAATAAATTGCAAAGAGGAGAGTAAAGAAATAGTAAGTCACCAACTACTGCACTCACCCAATGTGTGTACTTATTCTCTTTGAATCCTGTTTCATTTTATTCATCTCTCAGTTTTGATTCCTTCTGCTTACTTTTTGAAATTTCAGACACTTTAATTTTGTTGTCTATTGATTTGAGATAATAGGTGAAAAGCATCTATGTTTTGTTAAGTAGGAAGGGGTCAGAAATGAGATGAATAATAGATGTTGTTAACAAGAAAAGACATGGAATGGTCTTTCAGTTAAGACATTGAAATCTGGTTTCAGTGCCACTTAGCGGACATCAAAAGTGGCTGCGTGGTTGCTATCATTTAGTGGAACATGTGACCAAGTAGGGATTTGCTGCTACAATAGTGACTTCAAGGACTGACCTTTTTCTCAAAGCAAACATAACTGATGAGCTGCCCCAGGGAGCTTCTTTCCCTCCAATCCTCAAAACCTGCACCTAAAAAGAAAAAAGTATTTTTACACTTAACATTATTGAACATTATTGAAACCGTAGCTGTTCACCATCCAGGAGAAAGGCAATAGGAAGGCAGCTGGGTATTCTAATGCTCTGGCTCAAGGGTTTTTGGCTGATAGTGTTTGCAAAGGTGTATTTACATGTACAGGTAGAGAAGGGCCAGCTCAGCATGAAGGGGAGCCAGAATCCAGTCTGACCAATGTCAGAATCCTGACATTGCATGGAAGTTTCTTACTTGCTTATATGGGCAGATATTAATTTTTGTCAATGAGGAGTATTGTGTAATTAAAAGTCACACACTAAATCAAAAGCTCTTTTCACTGAGCCACTGAAAAACCTCTTCTGTGTCCTTGCAATATTTTAAGATTGTAGCATCTCATGCTGATGTGATTTTTTTTTATATTAGTGAATGTTTTTGTGTTCTGTTCAAGACTGGAAATAGCTCTTGAAAATATTCCTGTGCATTTTGATTAAATATTTTGTTAAAAAATACAAACCAGCTCCCCTATACTTTAGTTTGAGAGTCAGTACGACAAATTTCAATGAAAACAAGCTTTATGAAAATTATTAGCATTTGAAAGTGATTCACTGAAGTGGAAGTGTGGCAGCATCTTTTTAATATAGAAGGTCTTTACAGTTTTGCTATATGTCATGCAGTTTTGTTTCCTGAAACAAAAAAATTTTGAAAGCAAAATGCTTTCAAACCAAAATCTAATGAAAATTTTACGTGCATGTTTGTTTGTACTATATGGTGTTTTGGCATATAGCACACTCTGTTGTGTTGATTATTTTGAGAACTGCTGAGAAAGGGAAATCTAAGTTGATTGGTAGCTATTGAGTAAAAAGGTTTTTCTCCTGGGGATGCTTTCAGGTGACCTGTTCCTTCTGTAAGATCCAGTTGCCCCTAAGTCCGTTTGTGTACTACATTGAGCCGCTCTTAGTCTCTCTGTGGATATACTACAGTACAGACATGGTGTGTGCTACTTATTTCAGTTCTTATTGTTCCTGATTTTATTCCTTAATACTAGCTTTACACGCTGGGTTGCCCACCTGATCATCCTGCATGCTGGTAGTGTCAGGGAAGATTAAAGTTTGATCTGTATTTTGTTACAGTTATAAACTTTTCCAGCTGCTTGAGAGGAATGTGACTGGTTCTCCAACAGCATTGCTTGGAGAAGTCATGTTTGTTTACAGAGAACTAATGTAAAATATACAATAATCAACAAACAGCTAATCTTTGGCTGTGATTATTCTTATTTTAAAGGTAAAGAAACATGTTCAGAAAAATAGGTAGTTTTCCATAAGAGTGTTAAAATTCATTTATTTGGGTGCTAACCGCTAACCTCTCTCTCTGTCTCTCCCCCCCTCTCTTACTATCTCACAGAAAGACCTGTTGAGTTTTGCAATGGAAAATAGCTTCCTTTTTTGGGGGGGCCTGGGGATGGAGACAAATTTGTTTTTCAGTGTTATTGCTATCAAAATTAAATATATGTGTTAAAAGGAAGACTTTGTTACTAAGACAGAGCAGGTATCAGCTCCAATCTGCTGCTGTCTAATCTGCTTTGGAACCAAGATGCTGGTCTTACAGTTACCAGCTTTTGTTGGTTTATTTTTATATAGCAGAGGAGCTATAACAGGTACATCTAGCATAGCATTCTGCCTCTGCTAGGAAATACAGCAATTGCCTGCTATACTTCTAGCAATACTGGCCCCCCCCGCCCCAACTTTTGTAAAAAAAAGTTTGTGGCACAGTTTCCTGAGCCATAACTATTAGTTTTAAAATTAATATTGCTTGTTGAATCTGGTCATTATAGTTGAATGATGAAGTTTTCTGGACCATTTGCCAAGTATGTTAAGTGATGAAGCTTTAATGTTTTACTGTGATGACTCATTTGGATAAATTTATTTGTATTGCCCCAAAGTGAACTATGTTACTAAAGCAATGCTGGCATCTATTGTCAGAAGAATTGCTACATTAAGATTAGGGGCTTTGACATAACTAAGCTAAAATGCCAATATTATGCAACTATGAATCCGTTTCTAATAGAACATAGACTTTGTTGTCAAAAAGTTGTTTTACAGTGAACTGCTTTCTGCAAGTCAGAATTAAAAAAAAGTAAATTTCTAATGTTCGATTTGTAAGGAATAGATATGTTGGTATATATGTGTCGATCAGATTCCTGTTGCATCTCTGGGTGAGTATCTTTCCAGGATTTGGATATAACATCAGTGTTAGAATATCAGTCAATCAAGAAAACGGTTAATTGTGTTCAGATAGTATTTCTTATAGACCTTTCAGTAAACTGTCCAGCCTTAAGTAAAAGACCCACCAAAGTGAGTCATTAAACTTCTTGACGGGGTAAGTTAGCCTGTACTGTTGCTGGTGCCCAAGCTAGCTTGTTTTGAAACAGCCTCTTTGTGGCTGCAATCCAGCAGCAATGCCAGGACAGCTAGGTATGAATCCAGCAGCTGAGTGCCTTGCTGCTGGAGATTAAAAATGTGCTCATAAATTTGCTAATGTATGATGGGAGGAGGATTACGATTAGGTCTTTCCTTTGCCTGGGTAAAGATTGTTTCATTTCTGTCAGGACATTGCAAAGCAACTTGCCTTTACAAACTAGATTAGTGGGATCAGGAGAAGACAATGCAAGAATGTGAGAGAAAAACGCCCCTCCCTGTTCGAGTGTTTTGATGCTTTCTCTAAACAGGTTTGGGTTTTTCATTTTTAAATCATCACTGCAGCTCCTCTGGGACTTTTGTGTATAGGATTGCATACACTACGTGAACCAGCAAAACGTTCATCTTTACATCCAAGCCCAGCCAGCTATGTCTGGCTTACCTCTGCACATGTACCTGTCAAACAGAGGTGTGAAAAGTTTAAATTTTAAAATGCCTGTGAGAAAATTATTCACTGCAGCTGCTATAGTCAGATTTTCTATGAAACTGCTATTGTCAGTTTTTCTGTGAGATGTAAAATGCCCTTGAAGTTTATGTCTTCTAATTATGGTGATGTTGGTTTCTCAAGGGTATCCGAGTTAGTCGTAGTCGTATACTAGCCCGTAGCATTACTAGCAAAAAATTGTAATTTCATTCAGAAAAAACCAGCATATACTCTGACAATGTCCTGTGATAGGTATTCTATCGCAGGATTAAGAAACTGCTTTGGATCAGTGTCCTAATGATCTTTTCAGCAGTTATAGTAAGATGTGTATCATCAGGATAAGTTCGGACAGCTCTTGGGTGTTTTTGTCATTTATTATTTGTAACATGCCGGAGGGTCTCACAAGCACCTGCAGTCCAATGCAAGCAAATGTTCTTGGTTCATACAGAGCTCGCCCTGGTTATGAGGTTTCTGGGTTCAGATCAAGTTTTGTTGCAGATCTGTTGCAGCAAATTGAGTTCAATATGGCCAAAACTGTTTCTCTTCACTACCTGCCTATCTGACCTGAGATAGGATCAATTGATCTGATTGTAAATTGTCTTAATTTTATAAGTTTTTTGTCATTGCATGCTGATATGCAGACTCTTAAATGCCATAATTGATTAGGCTCTACTTCTGCTCCCATTAAAATCTCCTGTTGTTCTCATTTCTTAATGATTTTTATGACAATGTCATAAGTGCATATTTAGTTTTAGCGGTTTATCCCCTCTATCCTACCAAACAAAAGAACTGAGTGGAAAATAATTTGGGAAATTAAATTGAAAAATATACATACTGACTTAGGGCTGACCAGGAAAACCCCAGCCAACTAGAATGTGAGAAATTATTAGGAAAAAAGTTGAGAAGAAAATGAAAGCCATAATTATGCCACTGTCTAAATCCATGGCTGCTGCATTCTGAGTAGCACACACAGTTATGAAAATTTCATTCAAAAAAAGGGCCTTCAGAAAGTACTGGGAAGGGCCATGAGGGTGTCTAGAGGCTTCTGTGCAAGGGAAGACTCAACAGACAAGAACTTTTCAGGTTGGGATGGTGAGTGCAACACAGTAAAGCAAAATACAAGTTGTAAGTACCATGATAAGAGATGTGGCAGCTCTAATGCTTTTCAGCTGGTAGGGATCTTAAAAAAGATTTGTACTAGGCACGCACGTGTTTGTGCATATATAGGTACACATAAAACAGTGGATGTTTAAGGTAACGTCTTACCAAACCAGAACAGCATAGCTTATTGATTGTCAAGATAATACTAAGAAGATAAGAATATTTAGTTGTTATGTTGGGAAAGAGGAAAAAAAATTGCCACTGAGATGTGAAGGACGTTGTAACTTAATCCTGCACGCTACTTTTTTGCACTCGTCCTAAGTCTACCATGTGCCTGTCTCAGTGACTTTTGGGCTGTTGAGGGAAATGCTCTACTGACTGCATAGCAGTTTCATAGCTGCAGCAAGGATGAACCCTGCTGTCCCCAAGGTAGGAGCTGCCTCTGGAAATGAGTATTTGCGACTTCTTGTAACACAAGAAATAAAAGGCCCGAGTTTGAAATTATCTGGTAGCCACATTAAAACAAAAAGCAGGCAGTGTTTTTTTGCAGGCTGGCTGATGAAGCTGCACAGGAAGTAGAGGAGATCAGAACTGCAGGACCAAAAATGCAGCCTTCATAACTCACTGGACACAGGCACGGGTGGGTAATAACGGCGCAACTCTGTTTCAGGAAATCCCTGAGCCGCTGATTGTCCCTTAGCCAAAGATGAAGGTTACTCTAGGATGCTCTGGAAGATAAACTGACAGCTTGATGGTTTTGTGGTCCCACCTTCTGTGCTATGACCCCTCACCTTCTCATGTTTATGGACCTTTGCAGCCTGTAAAAGCCCCACAAGGGCTGGGCTGCACGCAGAGCTGTTCTGCAGCTTGATAAAGGGACTCTGGGTTCTCAGGCAGCGGCGCGTCTCTGTGGGCACAAGTTACTGAAAGCTTTTATTTCTTTTTCCTGCTGATGATATGTGATGCAGAAAAGCATAAACTGTGTGTGGGTTCTTGCAGTTTTATTATTGTTTAGTGTTTTCTACCACTGTATGAGCAGCAGTAATTTTTCTCAGTGTTTTTTAAGTGCAAACTATTGTTTGTATTTAATTGCCATCTAAGTTGGAAACCTTTCTGTGCCATTAAAATTAATGGGACTTTTGTGTGCTTACTGTTACTTTTATTAACAGGAGGAAAGCAGATGCTTAAAGTGAAGAGGCTGCTTGGAGATGAGTGTGTGACCACTGAGTTACAAATGCAACATATATAATTATTTGGTTACGTAATTAATTGACAGTAAGAGCTGGAGAGAGGGCAAGAGGGAAGCAAGCGACTTTTTGGATAGAACTGTCTTTCAGTATTTGGCAGTAGTGTAATCAGATGCTTTCAAGCATTTAATTTATAAGTAGTTTACAACTTAAAATCCATTACACTATATGTAGGTGTTGCAAAGTTAAGAGTGTAGAGTTAGAAGTGTTTTCAGAATTGTTAGTCTAGTTTCTTGTTATGAGATCTTACCCTTTTAGACTTGGGCTTCAACTAGATTACAGAAATTTTTTTTTTTTTAGCAAAATCTTTTAGTTAAACACTCATTAACAGTTAACAGTTGGAAAGCACTCCTCTGAGACTTAGTTACCATATCTACATTCTCATCTACATGCTGCACGTATTTTCTAAACCACTCATGTTTTTACCACTCAGCTCCTCAGTAGACTAGTGATTTTATTGGTTTATTTTAAAAAATGTTAGTTGACTTCCAGGTATTGCTGATTTGCAAGTTTATGTCTAAATTAGTTTGTACTAATTTTTTATAGATATTAGCCTCTATTTGACTCATCTTAAATACGGTTTCTGCTGTTCACTTTTGGGTGTCTCATGTCATCACTTCTGCCATTTTCTCTTGGTGGTTACAGCAGATTTTTCTCTTACTGTCTTTTAAAATGTATTTTAACGATAGATATTTTACCCTTTTAAAAATAATTTTAGGATGTATCTTTCATATCCTTCTAACATTTCCACACTCACCTATCCCCATATGTTTTGTTGATTTGCTTGCTCCCTAGATGGTATCTCAGCTTGAAACCCAAATAGCTAAATTGACTGAAGCTTTGCAAAATCAGACCAGATTGTATCAAGAAGCTCTGGAGAGGAGCAGGAAAGCTGAAAAATGTTCTGAGACTTTCCAGGATCAGCTGAAACACTTGGAAGAGGAATTACTGTCTGTGGATCTGATGCAAGATGGTTTGAAGCTTGAGAAACAAAAAGTATGCCTTTATTGCATGCATTATTTTGTTTGGTATAAAAGTCACTAAAGCCAGAGATACAGCTAATTGTATTGCATTGATTAGCTGGAGTATTCTCACAGTACTGCAAGTAATGGGAATTAGCAAAGTCAGGCATCACATAAGGAGTAGTAATATATTTTCTTTGACCAACAATTTTAGCTGGAAAAAGTAGCTAAGCTTCTGACTTCAAAGTCCATTTAATGTGAGGGGAAAAAAAAGCAGATTAAAAGATGTCTCTCTAAATACATCAGAAGTCCTTCAAGGGTTCTCTGATCTCAAAGCTTTCTCTGATCTCTCTGTCTTTCTCTAATATATCATCTGGTCTGCAGTCTCTCAGGATCTTGCAGTCCTTGATTCTTTTGTATCCGTAGACCATCAAGGCTACCAGGATTTTTTTATTAATTGTATGAATGAGCACACTGTTAATCTGTAACACATCTACATACTAAGAGTTTGAAAAATGACATAGTAAACCAGCCAACCAATACAGCTAAGAAAGACAAAATTGTAGCGTGTTACTAGGCCAAGATCAATGCTTAGAAAGTTGAATTTGCAAAGAATCAACAATTTGGTGCTGTCTGTTTTGCATTAGTCTGTGATACAATAAGTTTTATGAATAACTTTTTATTTTATGAATGAAACATCCACCACATTGGCAGCAAACCAGAAAATGGAGCTGTTCCTTCCTCTTTGCTTTTTCTGTGAAGAACTTGTGGCCCTAGATTCTTAATTTCTCTCTAGATTTTGCTGCAATAAAGAGATTTTTGTTGTGATTTTTTTCTGTTAATGAAAAACTTCAGTGCTTGCTGCTGCTGCTGCTGCTTTTAACCTTTTGAATTGGAAGCATCACGAAAGAGATTCTTGCTATGTTTTATTGTCTTGAGGTGAAGGAACGGTTATGGAACTGGTTTGTTTGTTTGTTTGTTTGTTTTTTCTTTGTTGTTTCTTTGCAAAGATTGACCTGCAGTAGAAGTAAGAGAAAACAAAGGCAAACATAGTTCTTAGTGAGAAGGAGAGCTTTGGATTTTGCAAGAGAGGCCAACTGAGACCAGCAAATTAATGCAATTTTTAAAGAGCTAGGGGCAGGACAAGACAAAAGAAGGAAAAACCAGATTGAATAATATTTGATATCTGTATGTGTTCACATCAGTAAACCAGATGGAGATGCAATTAAAATAATCTTTAAAACAATTTATAAACCAGTAACTGTTACATCTAAAACTTGCTATTCCAAAGAAGGGCAAAAGCCTGACCATGTTAACATTCCTGCGTCTCCTCAGACTACATCGGCTCTCACCCATGACATCCCTGTTACCAGTTTTACCTGTTTTAGAGCTCACAGCAGTGGGAAATCATAGCACTTGCAATTAGTTGGGATGTAGCTGTCCTTTCTAACTTCTCCCTGCCAATGCACGGTGGTGTAAAGCAGCAGAGCCACAGACACAACTGGAGTCAGAAGCAGACACACACAAGTGCTCTCCTTACTGCAGAGGAGCAAAATACAATCTGGTCTTGCTAAGAAGATAAATACAGTAGGTCCAGGGATTAGTGAACAAAATTAATGTCGACTAAAAAAGGACAAATAGAGAATTTGCAATTGTGTCAAGAGTTTATACTGCAAACATACCCTTTCAGTACGTTATTTCTTGTCGATAGTGGACTTTGCTATGTATAGTTGGTTGCTGGTGTAGGGGGAATTGCTTTTAAATTGTGCTTCAGGACTTTTAATGAAGTTTTATTATTCTTTTATCCACTTTTCCACATTTTATCTTAGTATCTGAAATTTCTGGAGCAACTTAATGAGAAGATGAAGCTGGATAGCCTAGCAGCAGAAGTTGGATTTGATATGAATGTGGATGCGATTCTAGCCCGGGTAGAGCAGTTAGTGAAACTGGAAGGTGATGCAGTGATTGAAAACAAGACTATGGCATATAGCCTAAGAAGGAAGGTAGGCAAAAAAGACATACCTTTACTGTTTGTTTCAAAGATAAACATTGTTATGGCTGTATTTCTATAGTGGCTTGCTAAAAGGCAGCAGATTGGAGCTTCATATATTTACAAGGGATTTCAAAGATGTCCGTTACATAAAAAGAAGACAGTAAACATTTGCAAACTGTGCAAACAGACTGCATATTAAAATAACTAAAACCATCAGTCATTTAAATACATGATACTGCTTTTCACAACTTCTTAAATAAATATATAAAGTTATGCATGTTTTAGATGTGTATATATGTCTAATTTAATACACATTTATACTATACGCTGTAAACAACTGTTGTCAATATTTAAATCTAAAAAGATCTGCTGGGAAGTGGGGCATCTTACACAAAATTCTCTATAAACTGGTAGGATATCAGTTGTACTTCACCAAGAATTTCAACATTTCCAACTGTGGTCCTCTAGGAGCAAATCTATTCAAATTTTGTTAGACACACTTTGTCATCCTGTTATGACAGAGTGAAGTCTTCTAGTTTTAGGCATATCAGGATGGTTTAGAGCTTAGAATTAGGTCTGTTTTAAGGTTTAAAACAACATTGTATTTCTTTCTGGAAGCAACAGCCACTCTGGCAAGGAGTATAGTATGTATGTTAATAATCATCAGATGTCCCAGAGTAAAGCCTGTCAGTTCATCTCAGGTAAACTGAAAACAGATAACTCCCTGAGCACCAAAATCAGAAAATTAAGCCGATGGACCTTTTATTGGAGCAGTGGATGAAAGCTGCCTTGTTTCTGTACGTCGGTTTTCCTTCCTGCACACTAGCCTTAATTAACTGATTAAAGATGGAAATATCTTAAATTACCACCACTGAAACCACTTGTCTCCTTAATGAATCTCTCTTACCTCTTGCATTTGACTAGTGTCTTATATTTGAGACAATCTCAGATATTATGAATGATGCACAAGTATTTATGTTCAAATAGGGTGCAGTCTATATCTAAATTAATTTTAAAAGGTAGTGCACAAATTCAGGGATGGAGAAGCACAATGAATTGGTAATATAAGAAGTATTAAGTTAATGTATATGTGTTTATACTGCCTAACGGTTTTCAAGAGAGGAATTATGAGTTCAGGTTAAATATGCAACATGGGGATTAAATTTGCAAAACAATCTGTGTAGTACTATTGTCTTTCACATATATTTTTCAAATATCCTTGTGTTTGGAAAACTAGTTGAAGGCTCAGAAAGAAAAACTTGAAAGCAAAGAGCTGCACATGAACCTTCTGCGGCAGAAAATAACCCAGCTGGAAGAAGAGAAGCAAGTAAGAACTGACTTAGCTGTGGAGAGGGATGAGGCCAATCTTACTGTCAGAAAGTTACATAAAATGGTAGAGAGATTACAGAAGCAGCTTGATCTGGCAAGGGAAACGAATACTGATCTCAAAGCCAAGCTGTCTGAAACCAATGAACTTAAGGTGAGTTAAAAGGTTACAGTTGTGCTTCTATCCATTTTTCTGTTCCAGTTAGATACTGATGGAGTTCATCCACAATAAATGTGTTCATGGAAAACTGCTCAAATCCATCTAGTTGGGGAAAGTAAATATAATATTACAATATTTTGGATACTTTGCAATTCGTCTTGATATACTAAGTAGCATCTGTAAAGCACAAATGTAAATTTTCAGGCTACTGTGAGAAAAATACGATATATACATCCCTTCATTTCCTGTTGATATAGCCATAATCTTGTATTTTCCCATATATTGCTCACAGAAGATCTGTTCTGCTAGGTATGGAAAAAAAAAAGTTTTGTTCCACGTAAAACAGGCAAGATGCTGAATTTTCCTTGTTCCTGGGTTTTGTTACATTGCAGCTATAATAAATTACCTGCTTTAACTCAGGTGAAAACAAGTAGTTTGCAGTCATTGACAGCTTGCCACCACTGGAAGAAAGGAAGATTGATTTTATGTGGGTTTGTGTCTTGTAGCTGATGGAGTGAAACAGATAAGTAAGTTCATGTTCCAGCTGAAGAATTTTTACCAACAAAACATTTGGCAACTCTTTTTCATACTATTTTTCCAGGAGCTAGCAGAGACTGAAAGCTCACTGTGGGTTTTTGTCTGCCCAATGACTTCTCTTCACAAAACCTGTAGACAATTAACTGTTTTTGAAACAAAAATATTTTTGTTAATTGAGTTGGAAGTGGCCAGTCTGCTTTAATAACTTTTCACTTCATGTGTGCATGTGATTTCACCAGGAACCCGGAAGAAACTGCATTAAAGTGCTTATTCATGATTACTCCTGATTATTATTTGTTTGTGTGAGATGAAAAAGTGTGAGAAATGTAACATTACTTTGTTATTGCAGATCAAAAATTTGGAGCAGAACAGAACAATAGAAGAACTCAATAAGTCTCAAGGCAAGTTGGAAAGAATGAAAGAAAAGGCTGAGAAACAGCTTACCTCTGTCAAATCAGAACTTCTTTTAAAGGAGCGTAAAGCTACTGAAGATAAAGAAAAAAGCAAAAGTATGTTAGAAGCAGTTACGAGTGAGCTGAAGGTGCTTAAAACAACGCTTGCAGAATTAGCAAAAAGGGAGAGACAGGTAGGTGTGTAGGTAGCACTTGGCAAGTGCTAGCTGTCACTTAGAATGTGGTATAGGTGGAGCACGTGTCCAGCTGTGCTGAAAACGTTTGGGAACGTTATTGAACAATGAAATGTTAGCTCAAACTTGTGAGCTAGTGTGGCAGTTATAATTCTGAGAGGCTAAGCTAGTCTTCAAATTATACATGAAGAGAATGAATAATAAATACAGGCATTGTTTTCTTTGTTCATTGCAAAATAATACATCACCTTTTGGAGAAGCATAAAAATGCTTTAAAATCCTTGTATCTTTTTAAGGTATGGCTTTTCCATATGTCTTAGGTATAAAACTTACGTGTTATCATGTATAGGCCATAAATTCAAAGAATGGTAGAAAAGATCAGAAAATATAAAAAAGAATAAACCCCAAACAAATCAGACTTAATATCGAATATAACTATTTTGGATTGATTTGTGACATATATTTTTGTTAAAATTTAGGTAAGAAAAATTTTTGTGGTAACGCACCTTGGGGAGGGTATAAGGAGTTTGTGGGAAACACATTAGTAAATGTAGTCCATTCTAATTTAAAGCATTGTGAAGTATATATGTAATTGCCCTGCATAATGTGTTTTGTAGCATTATAGATGGCATAATTGTTGAAAACCAATGTGATACTTCTTTAAAGTGAACAATTTTTAATTTTAAATTCCTTAATCCAACTGCATAGAACTTTTTTAGTTTTTCCAGCTAAAATTTTTAAGCTATATGTTGGCCTTAGCAATGACTCTGGATGCAATTTGTTATTTCAAAAAATGAGTCTAGAAAAATATTGTTTTGCTCGCATGGAGAAACACCCCTCCCCCCCCCCAACCCCAGGGATCTTTCTTCCATTATTTAGTTTTATAATGAAGGCTAGAAATTTTTCAGGAAAATTTAATTTCTTCATACGGCTCATGAGGAAACAATGCATCCTGCTCACAGAAGCAGCTATGAATTATATTCAGGAAATTATTCCACAGAGCATACATTGAGTACTTGCTAAAAACACACAAATGTTAAATTTTTACTGGCTGAACCCAAGGCATTTCAAGCCACTTGAATACTATTGCAGTGTTCTTTGTCCAAATTTGAAGAGCGTGGGAAAAGTGAGGTAAGTGGACTACTAAGTGCAGAATGCTCAAGCACAGCATAGCACTAGTTCTCAAGATTTCTGTGTTAGTGAAAGAAAAATGTCAACTTAAAATGTCACTGGCATCCATAGTCATTTGCATCACACGAACATTTCAAATACTGTGAGTGAAGCTGTTTGCAAAACTGATGCCTAGTACTTGTGCAGTGCTGATTAGTAGTAATGACATTTTGAAAATATGAGAATTACCGGTAATATTCACAGCATACTCTCCTGTATGTTAACAGTTTACTTGGCTAAAACCTGTCCTTAAAATAATGCTACTGTTGCTAAATTGGAAAATTTGTTCTAAACTCTCTTTTACTAATTAGCATGTGAGTTTTTTTCCTGACTTCTCCCAAACCAATTCCCAAGGAGAATTCTTTTCTTATCCCCAACCCCGTGTAGTTCTTCACCTGTGTTGGACTTCCTCGTTCTTCCTTCTTGGGGGAGCTAAACAAGACCAGACTTCTCTTACTCTCTGTAAAAGGTGGCAATGTTAAATACTTCTCTAAACATGTGTGTATATATTTAATCTGAATATAAGCACAGCCATGTCATCTGTGTGTGTAAGTATGTTAAGAAAACTACTAGAAACTGAAATTGCCATTACCTGGTGGAGTTGTTGATGTGGCCAGATTGACAGCTTGTACATGCATTTGTATGTTTTTTTTGGGTACAGTCTGCTTTCCATGGATATCACTACATGTAACATTAAATAACATTGTAATATTGCACGGCTATTTTCCATGCTGTCAAAATTAAAAGTATGCATAACTGAACTACTGCCAACTGGTTAAGACACTGATTTGTCTTGTGATCAGAAGAAAGGCAGAACATACCCAAGGGAAGTCAGAAATTAAGACTGGATTGAAATAATTTAAGATTAACTCATGATTGGGATTTAACACACTATTTCTAGTTGTTCTTTGCTCTTTAGACTAGCAATTCCTACTAAGTTTAAGAGGAAAAATTAGCTTTGGCATTTCTGTGTTTTGTTCCTTTTTTTTTTTTTTTTTTTTTAAGAGAAAGGACAAAATCAAAGCGTCTGAATTGTTTAGAAGTCAAGCCCTGTAAGCAGGGTGTAATAATACCGCCAATTTGCTTTAGGGTTAACAGTAATCTCTGGTCGCTGTAGCGAGTAACAGCAAAGTGTGCATATTCTTGTGTAGACATATAAAACCATTAAAAAAATGGTGTTCAAAGCATTATTAAATCATACTGCAGAGTAAAAACCATAGAGAGGTAAAGCTATATGTGCAGAGTCAAAAAAGTAGAGATTACTAGAATGGATATATAGTGGGAAATTAGTTAGATATATTGAAATTTTACAAGATTAATTTTACAAGTGCAAGTTTACAGATATCCATACTGGATTTCCTTTGTCTGCAGGGTGAACAGAAAACCTTTCTGACTTCATATGTCATTATTGCATATTTCTGAATAGAAATAAATATCAGCATAGCCGACATTCATTTTAATAAGACTAGATAAAGGGTATGCATAATGACTGATGACAAAAGAATGTTCACAGGGACTGGTAACACCAGTATGTGACCACTGCAGCCAACTGTAGATTAAAATCTGAATATATTTTATTTTTATTTTAATTTAACTCAAGTCATTATTTGCAGTAGTACTTGGAGTAAAAATATAGATGTCAGTGTTTTGTTTGAGTTTTTGATGGTTTTGTTATAAGGATCTTTTCCAGTCTTAGTTTCCCCCCTTTTTTTTCCCTCCCCCTTTCTATTGCAGTAAGACCCCTTCTACTTTCCCATAGGTACAGGACAGAAACAAAATGTAGTGTCTGTTTTTTACTTCTGCTCTTCCTTCCTAGTACCTTGTGTTAACGTTCTAAGTTGCATTCATTTCTTCTCTTTTACTTCAGATAATTTCACTCACTGGATGGAAGGTGTGAAGAAAATTTATCATGAGTGCATACTGCTGTAGCAAACCTCTGGTTTTGAGTCTTTAGTGATGTTTGCATTTTATTATTTCTCTCCTTTACTTCAAATTGTGACTATCTTAGAAATATTAACTGCTATTGAAGAAAGCCTTAAATAGAGAGTTAGGTGGTACTTGTATTAGCTTCTAGTATTTCAGCAGTACTATTGTGTTCTTAATACATCTGTTGCATTGTTTTTAAAGCTGAAATACATTTCTCATCTGATGTTTTTTTCTAGGTCTTATATGTTTTAGTGCAAGACTTCAAAAAGTTGTTCATGATGTGCTTAGAGCACTGTATCCACTTAAGAGTATAAACATGCATCTTGCTCCACGCGAGACATGCGATAGCATTCTAAAGATAGTCCAGTGTGTTTGTACTGTTTTTGTTTGGAGTTTTTAAAATTCAAACTGATGTCCCCTGGCGGGGAATTTTTGTATCCAAGACTGATGGTTCTCTTTTTCAGTTTATGTGGCAAATTAATCTTTGTAGCCAATCCTTTTTCTGTATTTTCACTGAACTAGAGCTTTGTCTGCAGTGTACTTTATACACCACAATATAATAGTCAGAAAAATTGTTTTTTCTAAGTGTTATCCCTCTAAAGTGGGAAAAAATCCTCAATTTAAAATTCACACGAATGGCTTAATGAACTTCTTTAAGGGCTCTGTGTGCTTTCCAGTTTAGGCTCTTTGCTGATGAAAGTTATTGAATTCTTAACATATTTATTGTCCATTCAGTATAGCTATGACCTGCTTTTCCCATTGGAAATAGAGATGATTGCATATATGTTTTAATTTGTATCTATTCCCTCTGGCAAAATTCTACCAGATCAATAACCTACGTCAGTGCAGCAAATTAAATTTGATTGCGTTTGATACATGGCTGTAGTGCAATTTGGTTTACTCACAGTTGCCACAATTAAGGTGAACAGCAAGAAATTTGGTGCAAAGTGCAGACCCTAATGTGCTCCCAGGGGATCAGTTGGGTTTGCTATCTAGACGTCTTGTGGGGGTTTAATTTGTCTAAGGACTGGATCTTTGCAGAGCTGCCTTGATCTTTCTACATAAAGTCTATATGGAAACAAATTCCAGCTCTGCTGTCTGCTCGTTCTGTCTGTGATCCAGATGTTTAAAAAAATATTTAGCTTCTGCTAAATTGTACTTGCTTAGCACACTGCCAAAGCCCCGCATCAGTGACCTCCCCACTTGGTGTTGAAGAGAAGATGTGGAAACTTGGGGGTTTTTGGTGTTACATTGTTCCAATGTCCCATCCAGGACATTGCATTGCCTTGGTAAAACAGATAGGTGGGACTGAACTCTCAAATCCTTCTGCCCTATACTGTCTTGGTTTCCATATTTGTTTTTCAGAAATGATGGCAGCTCCTTAGGGTTTGTACTGGGATGAAACAAACTGTCTTTGGGCAAGTCTTAGAACTGAGACCTTGTTTTCAAGGTTTTTGCAGCCTGCTTCACAGATGTTATAACTGCTTTAGAGTTCTGCACAATATTCTTGGGGATGGACACATATTTCAGGAGTGCTTTTATCTCCGTTTCAGGAGTGTGTTGATCTCCTCCTTACCATTAGCTGTCAGCATGACTGGTGGAGTGAGGGTACTGCCACACCAAAGTGCGCCAGCTTATTGATGGTTTTCATGTTTCTGTGGCATTTTGAGTCTCTCTCATGCTTGGGAATGGGGATCTTGACATTCAAATAGATAGCAAGACAAGCGTATTTCCTCAAAGAACATTTTCCTCTTTTAATTGTGTGTCGATGATAAGGGGTATTAAGGCATTGGTCATTTGGGCTGTGTAATGCATTGTCTATTGAAGAGGCATTGAAGTTTGACTTATAATGACCCATATTGTGAGCTGAGAAGAGTAAATCAGCATTCATGTTCATCTGATCTTAAGTTTTGAATATAGTTGCTGGTGGGGTTGCCAGTGATGACAATTGTGGATGTCTGTCTATTTGGAACCTGTATTGGGTCTGGCTGAGATGGAGTTAATTTTCCCCATAGCTGCCCTCATAGCTCTGTGCTGTGTATTGGCAGCTACAAAGGTGTTGATAACACAACAGTGTTTTGGCCACTGCTGGGCAGTGCTTGCACAGCATCCAGGCTGTCTCTCCACCATTACCCCCTCACCAGTAGGCTGGGGGTGGGCAAGATCTTGCGGGGAGACACATAGCCAGGACAGCTGACCCAAACAGACCAAAGGGATATTCCATACCATATGATGACCGTATGATGAGTAGAGAATAAATCTTTTGTTTTCCCTTGGGCACAGCCTTTACTTTTGCTTTATTAAACTGCCTTTATCTTGACCCACAAGAGTTTTTCTTTCCATCTTATTTTGTCCCCCCACCCCGTCCTACTGAGAAGGGGAGTGATAGACCAGCTTGGTGGCTCCTGGCATCCAGCCATGGTCAACCCACAGCAGAACTGCAGAGAGAAAGCTGGTTCTTTTAATTACTTTGCCAAATACCCTTGCTATGATATATTTTCAGCAGTTATGCACAGAAGAAAAATAAGCATTTTCTAGGCTGCATCTTGAATTTTGGCTGCATACTGATTCTGAGTCAAAGTCAGACCAAAGGATGTGCCAAACATTCACCTTTCTTCTAACTTCCTCCTTTCTGCTGTGGTTTCCACAAGAAAGTGCAGGGTGAAGGGGAGCGGTGGCAGGCAGCAGTCAGGAGCTTGAAGTCAGGACCAGCACCTTAGCCTATGCTGAGGGATGTGCCTACCAGAGTTTCCAGTTGTCTGTATAATTTGCAGTCATCTAGGTCAAGTGCAACTCCTCTTCCTGTCTTTTCCTCAGTTTTCGCTGTTGGGGCAGCAGGGAAGGTATGCCTATGAAGGATACTAACGAACACTCGAAACTGTGCTTTGTGTTCAAGATCCTTAGCACCTCAGCTGTTTACATGTTTTGTTATTTGAGGTACCCCCCAAAAGACTGTTTCCATCCTCTTCAGCTCTCTGTATTGGGCAACAGCAGAAATTCCTATATTTTGCACTGCTAATAAAAATGCTTTTGTTTGTTTGTATGCATATATGTATATGTTTTTCCAGGCATCGCCTTTGCTTGGTATTTAATTTATTAGTAATTCCTTCCTGTTTACTCTTGCAGCTGGCAGATTTCCGAGAGGTGGTCTCGCGGATGCTGGGCCTCAACATTGCCAGCCTGGCTCTTCCTGACTATGAAATTATTACATGTCTTGAAGGGTTGATTCACTCTCATCAGCACCACTACTTCCCCTGTGTCTGCCTCAAAGACCTGGCAAGGGCACCAGAGGAACACTCGCAAAGAAACTTACAGCTTCTTCACTGAAACACACATTTTGTAAGGAGAGAGAACAAGGAAAAATTTTCTTTTATGCTTGCCTACCTGCTAGATGTGCATAGAAAGCAGATATTTATTTCTGTTCCCTATTCTGTGGATGCTGACTTAGGCTGATTTTTAGTGTTTCAGTAGGGAGACTGAGCCAAATGGATAGAGTAAAGCCAGCAGCCTAGAGATAGCAAACAGAAGATCCCGGGGCAGCATAATACTTCAGTTATGAAAATGGTAGGCAATATGTGAACAATGTACAGCCTTACAGTTTCATTGCAGAAGCACTGAAGGCACGGGCCACCTGAGGTCAGTTCATGGTTTTGGGAAGTACTCGCTAATAAATGTCAGCTTCAGTGACATTCCTTGTGCTTTACCTCTGGGTGACAGGAATGAAATGAAGTGGGGGTTGTCCCGCTGCTATTCCTCTTGCAAAATGGGACCTCTCTGCAATTTTACACATAAGGACTTTAGCTTCAAGACAGCTAGCTGGAAGTTAGACAGAGGACTGTCACAATTTTGGAACAAACCATTTTTTTCTTTTTTGTTTTCTTTAGTTTGCTCTTGTGCCAATACAAAAAGTTATGCTTTTTCAGCAGAGGGTCTTTCACAGGGTCTATTCATGTACATGGTACAGATGCATTTGGTAAAATTGCATGTTGCCCTCGGTCATGATGCCTTAAAAGTTTGTCTTCTAGCTGCTGTATTCCTTGGGCCATTAATCCATTGGCCAAATAAGTGGCAGTTCTGAGCTAATAAGACGTTATTTTAAAATGCTTATCCACTACAGAAAATAGTTGAATTACTAAAGTCTTTATTTTCAGAAAAGCAATGATGATGTGTTCAGAAAGCTGCTTGTTTATCACCCTGAGTGTTGTTAAAATGATTTTTGTAAAGAAATTTGAACAATAAATCTGTTTTAATAGCACATTCAAACATGATTCTGTGTTTTTTGTTGTCTCTTCCCATTCTGTATTTTATATGGATGTCTAGAACAGTAAAGAAGACTTACCTGTTTATGTCTGACCATTGTGGACTTTCTGCAGTATCTCGGCAAATGATAACCCGCTCACTAAAACTGAGCATGCTATTTTAAGAAAAATGAGGCTTTTTCAAGTAAGGGTGGTAGTTTTGGTACCTAGATAGGGTTGTTTTTATTTCGCTTGCCTCTGAAGAATAATTTCTCAGTCACTTGTTAGTAAAAAACAAAAAAACACGCAAGCTTCCGCAAAATCAGTCATTTGAGGAAATATGGTAAATTGTATATTCTTATGCTCCTGAGGCTACCTGAATTAAAATCAATGTCTTTTCTTGTTTTATAATCTAACATTGTTTTTCAGGTAAATTTAATAAATGGAATAAAGGAAAAACCTAATATTAAATTATACAGACACTAAATTATATAAGGTGACACAATTTCAAAGTAAAACAAAAGATTGAAATGTGAATATTTTTAGACATAATATGTTGGTTGGGAATTTAGAGGGTGGAAAAGGATGCAATGATTTTCTAATTCTTCATGAGACAATACAAGTAGTTTCACCTTGTGTTTTACTGATTCTATAGGCACTTCTGTTTGAGTGATTACTAAACAACAAAACCTGTTTTCTTCAGCCACATTAATAAGTATTATATGAAGCTTATTTAACCATATTTTGCAAGTTAAATAAACTGCATTACAAAATTAGGTCCACTCAGACCAGATAAAACATTCCTAACTTTAACAAATAGTCTCTGAGAGTGCCAATCATAAAGTAAGTATGCATATTTGGCCGTATTTCATGGTTATGAAATGTTTTCCTAATGACTGCCAGGAGACTTAAAATCTCCTGCCATGCTCAGCAGACCAGTACCTGCTGCCCTGTGACCAGCCGTGCCACCAGCAGTGACGTTCCAGCCTCACAAAAGCTACCAGTAAAGCTCTCTGAATTACTTCAGAGGAGGCAGGTTTTCACACGAAGTTGGTAGCAAAGCCTGATTACTGTCTTGCATGTTAAACCAACAGAAGGTAGAATACGGGTTTTCTAATGCTTCCTTTTTTTATTTTTTCTACACAATGGATCTGTATTTTAAAAAATATTTATGCTAATGTTCATCAAGGAATATGACCTCTTGGGTGACTATTAATATTCCCTGTATTTTTTTCACTTTTGGAAGAGTACTGACAACTTTGTTCATTTAGCCAAAGCAAATACCCCCCAAAAAAGTAAAGTAGTAATATGACATGAACAAAGTTCAGGTGATTTTTGACCCATGTAATTTAATTAAACCCTGAACAAAGTTTAAACTGACTTACAAACTTTTTTTAAGGTTTGTTTCATACAGCATTGAACTTAGTCTTCCTTTTTAAAAAAAAAATTAAAACAGGTTTATGAATGTTTTCAACGTTCGTTTCAAATGTTTTCTTCTTTTTTAAACCAAGATGCATTCAACACAAGACAGATCTGATTGATAGAAACCTAAAAGTGTGTATTAAAGCAGTGTCAGCAGACACTTCTCTTTCAGTAGATTAATATTACTAGTTTCGTTTGTATTAATAAGAGGTATGAGATTAAAAGTTTGCTGTCTGTTCATAATTACTCTTTTATTGTGGTAAAGGATTCTTGATTTATTAACAGAATAGATATTAAGAAAAATAATATATGTGAAATGACAGAATGGTACAATTACAGGGCTAGATTTTTTTCCTCCAAATAATAGCTGAACCTACTCCAATGAAGACAACTTCATTATCTCAGATTGGCAGTGTTTAAAGAAAGGCAAAACTCAACAAATTAAAATGTTGCACTTGTAGATATTGAAATGAAATAATTTACATGCCATAAACATTGTACTAATAAAATCACAATGCAAACAGAAAAATGAGTGTTATAATGTTATGAGTGTGTTAAAATACGTGCAACCTGATTTTTGTCTATACAGCATATTGTTGTAAATACATTCCTTGAAAAGCAGGAATCACTGCAGTAGAGCCATGATTTCTCAAAGAAATTAAGTGCAAAAGCGTTTAAGTGCTTTGCAGAATTAGAATTAGGAAGCATAAAGACAGATCACATTAATTTACCCTTTGACTTATTTTGCTCTAGAATTTATTATTGCTGTATAAAGCAGTTTGCTTGCTTTTCCGCATTTTCTTTCTATGGATGATGTGTGCATCATCCACATTTTCCGAGGGCTGTTCAGTTACTGGATTATTTTGCACATTATGATGGTGCAGGGGAGGGAAAATATGGATGACCCAAGTCATAATAGATTTTAAATTAAAAAAAAAGCAGGTGGGGAATCAGGCACATCTCTAGAGAAAAAGACTACTGGATCATGTGTTCTCCCAAAATTTTTCATATGAAACAGAAGTATTTTTTAAGAGTATAGAAGCTGACCATTTCTCTTGACAATCAAAAAGAAAAAGGAGGAGGAATGGAACAAAATGGTATTAAATTCCCTATGAATTTAGCAAACAGGGATTTCTGATATTACTCAAGCATAGAAAAAAAAATTAGTTAACTATGTGGAAAACAGAAAAAATGATAGTTTGCTAGAATAGAAATTGGAAAGAATGTTCAAACATAATCCTTTTCAAATGGAAGATTTTAGATTGCTTTGTTCTTCTGTTGAAACAATTAAGAATCCTCTACAGCAATGTTTTTTTTCTCTGGAAGAAAATGAGGATGAACTTATTAGACTGTACTCATAATTACTAAGAAGTAACTGAGTCAGAAATGAAAGACCTACAAAACAAGACACTTTGCTTGAACAAAATAGATGTCTTTTCTGACAGATTTAAAGTCAGCTAATGAGCCATGAGACAAAGAAGAACACTTCAGAAGGTAATAAATAAAACAGTTGAGATATGTTTTCTTATTTTTTTCCCCTGTGATTACTTACCCTTTTGGTAAGTAGGAGAAACGAGAAAAAGAAGATTGCAGTGTGAGCAAATGGGGCCCAAACTGTTGACTTCCAGTTGGTCCCAGGTAGAGAAACCAACCGTGAGATGGATTTGGTAATGCTGGGGATGGGACTAGAGGGCCGGAAGCCTGGCCCAGCTGGGGGCTGGACAGGATTAGGCCCCTGGATATGTATTTATACACGGGCGTTTCTGTAAAATGATGATTTGGCCTTTTTTTTTTTTTTTTTTTGGAAATGGAACGTTAGTCTGTGTTGGCTGGGGAAGATGTGTGCTTGGTTACAAACCAAACATTCAATTTACTATTGGTATTGTTTTTAAATAGGGCATTGAATGCAATTTAATCGAAAAAAAAGAACCTTGATCTACAAAATATTCTTGTTACCACACCTTGGTAGTGACAAGTGTTATTCAGGGCACCGACTACGAGGCCTGAATTCATTCCAAACGAATAAGCTTCATTTCCCCTTCCA